CTTCTTTACATTGTTCTTTTTATCTACAGTGTCCTGAGACAACGCATGTTGGGACTTGGTGTTATATTAATAAACTGAACTTGAACTTGAACCTGTTTTCATCAAACCAAGCAAAGCTAAGTGTTTTTTCTTTCATAGAGAAGTGATATTAATGTGAAAATAGGGAACACTTGTATATTTTTTATTTGACCTGAGGGGAACTTTAGGTTACTTTTATAACACAGTTGTGAGTAGCATGAGTGAGTGTGTCACACTGGGGAATGTCCTCCATGTGAGCTCATCAAAAGCTCCGATTACATTAGAACAGATGGAAAAAAGCCTGTCAGTGTTAAGGAGGGGGACTTGGTGATGCACTCACTCATGCTAGTCATAAAACCGGGATTGCAAAAGTAACCTAAAGTTCTCTTTATTAGCATTAGCTTCATGTCTGACCCTGGGAAAAGAATTATACAGACTACAGTACTGCTGATCAGCTCTTTGAAGAAATGATTCTGAATTCTCCTTTGGTACAGAGGGAGCCAGTTATCTGATGCCACAGGACTTTATGTTGGGTAGCAGTTTTACAGCTTCAGTTGCTGTTGTGTGTTGTTGTCACAATGTCCAGTTGTGAGGTAGACCACATTATTTGATGAAGCCAGAGGAAGACACYGAGCCAGCGTGGATAGAGCAGGTAGTGATTTACAGCCTCAGTAGAGGTTCWTGTGTTTTTGTCACAATCCCTGGCCCAGGTGTGTCTGTCATTTTTATTTTTGTACCTACATTTTGTAAGCTTGTGTAATTATAAATATTTATCAGATGTCATTGATCATATATATCACTGTATATTTGTTTTATGGCCCAGCCTTATAGTACGAGAGAACAGGTGAGAACCCATCAGTGCAGCAACAGATAAGTTGGGGACACTGACACTGATTTCCTGACAGATCTGACTGGTTTAAGAAGACATGATGGGGTCATGCCAAGGGCATTCCCYAGTATGAGACACAAAACAACAGAACTGACCTAACAAACACAAGATTACTTTTTAAGGCAGACTTTAAAAGAGTGGGACTGAAAACATAAMGTCTTGTAACTGGTTGTCAGCTGGCACAAACGCTGCAGGCAGTTCCTGTTTCCATAAGGACCGTCTTCCTATTGGCTCTGCTTCTTTGCTCTGGAACATCCTCTAAGAACTGCTCTGCCTCGTCTGCACCTCGTCAGCTGCTCTCAGTCCTCTCGTTTGAACCGCAGTCCTCCGGTGGCCACAGCTGTAGGATTAGTGTGAACTGTGTGTCACACYGTGGCCTTGATGTAGCACATCTCTATCCTCTCTCTGCTGTTTTCTCCTATCATTTGATTTAGCTCTTTTCCTTGCTCTGACCAGACTGTAGTTATAGGTTCACCAAAAGGCTGGGGAATACCCACAATAAGCTCAGAGCATGGCGGCTATCCCAGTTCACCAGAACGTTGTGTAGCCACCGTGAGAACCAAGACCACACTGTAACTAAGACAGCCAAACACAAAACACACACTTTCTTTTCCATTTTCTTTACTGTTAGGATCCAAAATGACATCAAAACTCACGAAAACATGAGAAGAAAAAAGGAAGGTCAAAAAGGTGGCACCTGTCTGTGGTTAACTAACCTGACCTGTCTGTGGTTAACTAACCTGACCTGTCTGTGGTTAACTAACCTGACCTGTCTGT